TTAATTTTGATTTTAAAAAGTGTTGTCAAAATTAACCAAATAAAATTTGTTTACGATTTCAAAACCAAAATTGACCGATTATTTAAAAATAAAATCTAGTTTTTTTTGGTCATTGTTGGATATTTTCAGTTTTTTTGGTTAAATTTTCATAATTCGGTTCGGTTGTGTTTGATGGATACATGTTTAAATTTGGTAAAACCGGTCTAATTGTGGTATAATCCGATTATTCAAAAAAAACAAATACTTCAGTAATCAAGAACCGAACCAAAGTAAATTTCACATTGTGCCGACCGGTTAAGGACCTATAACCAAAACCAAACCGAACAGCGCCTTCGGTTCAGTTATTTGTCCCGGGCCTAGCCAAAAACTTTATGGAGTAATTGATTTTATTGTTTGATTTGTAGATGCATCCAGGAAATCTTCAGATCAAAATGTTGGCATCGGTTCGTCGCTTCATAAGAGGAAGGGAACACGTCTTTTTATAGCATATGATGCAAGTGGAACCAATTCACTCACCATTGAAAGCTAAAGCTCTAAGCTTAAGTGCGCCAACTTCAGAGCCTAGGGTATACTCAAGTAACATTATGTTGGGACTCTAAAACCTAATTTTATATATGAAATGATACAAAGAGGAAAAAGCAGTGACTACAAAAGAAGAATGTTGACATCATTACCTTTCAACATATGTAAGTGACATCTTTTATATGTAGTTATTGCATGATTTTAATTTCATCTATCCTCACTAGAACTGTAGAAGTGTAAACTTACTCAATAGCATAAATATGCCTTAGCAAAAAGATCTTATAATACTCAATGTAGTCCATATGTAATATCTTGGAACAAAATTTGTAAGAATTTATTTAATGAATGTACCTTCTTTGACGACAAAAAAAAAAAGAAAAGAACATTGTAAGTTTATAACTTCACACGTAAAGAAAAAGACGCATTTTCTTTCTCTATAAAACAACAAAAAAAATATTTAAGAAAACAAAAATTAGAACATTTTATAATTTAAGTCGAAGGCTAATGATTTGGATAGGCCGGGGATGAGGCACATAAACAAAAATGGGGTATTTCTTTGGATGGCTTTTATTTTAAAATGAGATATATTCCATGATATCATCATTGTTAATTCTCTCTCTCTCTCTCTCTCGCTAAATAATAGTACAAATAATAATAAACTAGATGGTGTTGGCCGGTGGGAATCATGATTCATGAGTGATTCGATACTATATACCGATTTGTTTTGAGACATATTAATAATGAAAATCAATCCATAACTTTTTTAAATAAAGAGAAAACGGTATGGTTGTGTTTGTGTATCCTCTATAATCAAATTTGCAGCAAGCACGTGAAAACCAGCAGAGACAGTCCAAATCTAGACCCGAGGAAACAAACATTACTGATTCCGATAATGTCTTTTGGATTTTCTAGAGTTCAGTATATTATTTTTAAAAAAAGTTATTTCATATAGTTTGCATATTACAATTATTAATTATACGTTTCGTAACTTAGCTACTAAATCTATATATACATTTTTGGATCACAATTAGCAAATAAATCCTGAAGTTGAGAAGTATTTACAATGACATGCCATTAGCATTAATTATTTAGATTTGTTTAATTTAAGTAAAAATTTTTAATTGAAATTCATTTCTCATATATTTAGCAAAAGTCTCTACAAAATATTTCCTTATCTATTTAAGTAAAGATTTTGAAATCAAATATGTTCTCAACAATTTACCAAAAATCTCTACACAATCTTTTTAAAAATCTCGACTTAGTTAACTTCTGATTTTTATCTGCAAAAAGAAAAATTAATTGTAACGAGTGATGTAAAAATCGGGAATGTTGATACTACAATTTCTTCTACTTCTTTTTTTTTCATATAATGAAAATTATTTTTTAGGGATATTTTCTTAAAACTTCTAAACAAAACAAAGAGTTTCAAAAGATAGCTTCCCTTTTGGCGGGTCGACCCGCAAACCCGCAACTCTCTACGGGCTTATCCGCATGAACCTGCGACCCGTAGTGGATGAAAATATTATTCAAAAAAAATAACAAGTGATGTTTAATTTTACGGGACGGGGTTATATGGTGCAACGGGTTTAGATCAATATTAATATTAAACAATATACTATGGATGAAATCCTAGAATTAAAAATCAAAATTTAATTATAAATCAGAAACACTAAACAAAATAAACAATATTAACAAAACAAATACAACTTAAAACTTTGCAAAATAATTTTTTAGTTATAAAAAAATCGACCCGCGGTGTACCACGGGGTAAAATCTAGATTTGGAAGTTTAAGGAAGAAAAATCTTTTTTAAAAAATAATAGCTCCGCGGTGTACCGCAAGAAAAATCTTTCTCCTAAACTGAGGCAAGAAAAAGAAGAAAGTCAAATGTCGTTTAAGTGTATATATAAATATCCCATTTAAACCTACAACACAATTAATATACTCAAAACTATTAATATAGATATATGGATGGTACATTTATAAAATAAGTCGAAATATTATATTATACTCTCTACTAATAAACAAAACTAATTATATTTAGATTTTTTTAAAAAATATTATAGCCCCGCGGTGTACCGCGGGTTCAAATCTAGTCTAAAAATAAAATAGGTTATTATGTTTAGGTAATACTTTTTCTGTTTCGTTTTAGTTGTCGTTTAATGTTTTCTCACACATATTAAGAAACGCATTAAATTTTCTGTTTTACCCTTTATTAATATATTTTATAAAAAATTCATTGGCCGAAACATTAAAACTGTATGGATAAAACTGAAATTTTCACTACAAAAAAGGTAGATTGTATCATTTATTTTGGATTTTTGCATTACTTATAATTGACACAAAGAAATTTAACATCACTTATTAAAATGACTCTGAAAATGGTGATGCAAATAATTTACATCGTTTTATTAGAAACCGATGTAAATTTATTTTATTTTTGCATCAATTGTTATAATCGATTTCAATATGTGTCAATTGCCAAAAATGATACTACCTTTTCTATCAATTTGTAGAAGTGATGTTAGTATTTATTTCGGTTATGATAAGTGATGTTAAATATCTCCGTCAGTTGTAAAAAAATGATGTTAATATTTAATGTCATTAATAAATGTCA